TCTTTTTTGCAACCTCCTTGCATTTGGGTTCGTTTCAAATAAGATTGACAATCTAAATCCCATTCCTCCAAAACCTCGAACTTCACCGCCTTTAGATATACAAAAATAATTATCAACGCCAACAATAAGATTAATAACACAACTTAAGAAGTGGTAATAAGTGCTCTTTTCAACTTAGTTAGAGAGGAAGATGATTTCTCAGGTAGTATAGCAGGAAGATGATTTCTCAGCTGGTCGTGGTCGATTGGTTTCTCAAGGATTTGGGGGGGTTTTGGGATGGAGTTGAAAGAAATTGATTAGGAAATTTTTAGTCACATTAACATTGTTTTTAGCCCAGGACTCTTGATTAAGGTGGAGATGGCAGTGGCAGTGGTTGATGTGGATTTTTGGTTTGAGTTGGAGTGGCTGGGGGATGAGCCAGAGGAATAAGATGGGGGTTGTGTTTTTTATTTCTTATTTTTTAATTATTATATTATTTAATGTGACAAATGAAAATTTACTTTTTTACCTCTTTTTCAAATATTAAAAACGTGGTCAAAGTTAAATTTTTTGTCAACTAAGTAAATTGTGGATGGAAATCGTTCAAAATGACTTCATCTGCAACGTTTGGAAAGATAAGGGATGAAGGTTGCAACAAATAAAAGGTTAGGGGTGATGGCTACAACAAATCAAAAGTTTGGAGAAAGTCTGATAATGTTTTAAAAGTTTGGGGCTTCTAATCAATTTTTCCTTATTTTAATTTTAGTAGTAAATTTGAAAATATTTTAGAATTCTATGGCAACATGAAAATATTTGAAAAAGTTCGATGACAACTCAAGAAGATTTTTCAAGTTCAATAACAATTGTAAAACATCTAAATATTTACCTAACTAAACATGTACTCAACCTATCTGAATTTATGCCTAGTGTCGAGTTATGACGTCGATTGAATACACACTCGAGTAACAAGATCTTATGATTGAATATTCGCCTTAAAAGTGTCATTAAAAAATTTGAAGTATTTCAATATAGAATACAATATTTAGGTGAGGTCTCTGCATATAACGTCTTATTAGGTGTCAAAACTTCGGTCTTTATATTGTTGAAAATGAATCTGATTGCTGACTATTGATACAAAGGCTCCAGGTGGAATCAAAACATTCATAAATGCTCCTCTTTTAAGTGATATTACATCTCTTTTCTGTGAAAATAGGTAGTGGCAAGTGCAACTTTATTTCCCACGAGAGGTATATAACAGGTTGAATTAAGCCCCATGTACAAGCTTAATTTGACAGAATCCATATAGGATGTTGATTTGTGAAACATTTCTATACTTGTAGCATGATCGAGTTATTTCTCTTGCACAAGGAAATTTTGTACATGGAGCATACAAATGTTCCCAGCACCTACGTGGTTGAAATTATTATTTTTCTTTTTTTGCCTCCCATAACAGCCCTTACCATTGCATCTGCTGTTTTTTCTAAATTATTGTTTAATTCGTGGACTGATTGTATGCCTTACTAACTGAGCTCAGTTGTCGCCCGCTATCTCAAGTAATAGAAGTGCATGTTTCAGTTTAAAAATAAAAAGTAACAATAAATTGTAAAGATTCACAATACAATCAAATGATCCACATTTGAAACATTATAAAAGTTAACAAATGTTTGAAGCAAAAGCTATACTCAATCGAAAACATATCTAAAACCAAGTAAAATATGTTACTTGTATGTTCAGCACGTGGAAGAATATGAGTTTGAATATCAAGTCCAATATACCAAACATGCTGGTATCTTTTGGACTAAATGATTGGTCTTATGTATTCTCAAAAAATAATATACCTTGACCTTGACAATACATCAAGCTTGGCAAGTGTAATTTCAAGGTCTTTACTCTCTATCTATGTCCCTCCCCGGGAGGAAAAACAAGGGCTGGTGCTGGGTTTTGGATGTCAAATCTCACGAACGTTCCATCACTCCACGTACGTTTATCACAAATGATTTACCAACAATTAGTAACCTTTGTTTCCACGAATTCGAGCTCGCATGTCAACCTGGAAGAAGGGGGAAATATACATGGTTAAATTAGGAGCACGAGTAAGTTTAGCAATAATAACTCAAGATCCAGGTCAAGACAGAAATCATCACGAAGAAGTAATTTAGTTTACGAGAATCGTCATAGAAAGAAACATACAACTTGGTCAGCCTTTTCATAACCAAAAATTGCACGAAGAATGAATAGCAATTTTCTTGTTTTTACATTTTTACTTGAGGCAATCTCATAAGATGAACCTTCAAACACGACCCAAAAAACAAATAAATGCAGTTTCCTTACTTTCCAGCACCATGCATGGTAAATGATCAGCATAACAGAGAATGTGGATCAGTGATAGCGTTCACTTCAACTTTTAGGTTGTATCTTATGCTAATGATTGGGATCCAGGGAAGAAACAATTGTTTGACATAAATTACGTTGGTAACGAAAAACTGACTATGCCAGTCAAACTTCTACCCTATGATGCACAGACACGGATACATATGTGTGACACGAGACGTGTCAGATACGTCGACTCACAATTTTTCAAAAAAATATTAACATGACACGTCGATTAAATTCTTTAAAACTCTTCATTTATATAATATAAATTTTGTTTTATACTTCTTATTAATTTTTCTTGTTAAAATCTTTTAAATATAAGTACTTATTTGCAATTTATTAATAACTTTAAATTAAAAATATATAATATTTCTAATTAAAAAAGAAAAATAATTAAGGTATAGTGTCTGAGAAATATTAGTATCCGACACGTGCCGGATATAAATACGTTACCGAAGTTGAAATGTTCGTACAACAGAGCTTCTGCTAGTTAATTAGCTTTTTTCAACAAATTTACAAACGAATAGAACCTTAATTCGCTAGAAGTATAACCATCATTGCAATGAATGAAATACATATTTAACATGTAATTAACAATCAACTAAAGGCAGAAGAATAGTAAGCTACTGACAGAGTAATTTTCTCTAATACAATAAGTTTTCTGAAATAGAAATTCCAACAAATAATGCTCTGAATGTGTGGATGTGCAACAGTGTTCATTTCCAGGACATGATGTTCACCTCATCATATGATATTGATTTAGGAAACAGAAACCAACATTCATCATAACTTAACATAGCAAGAATGAAGGATAAAATTGAAAATTTTGCATAATGTATCATAACTTAATGATTATGGGCACATCGTCTTCCGTTGCTTCTATGGTTTGTACACTTAATGGGTGATCAATCGAACAAAAAATATCAATTTCTATCAGAAGGAATATTATGATTTGTCAAAGGGACAAGGAACCTTACAAAGCAAGTAGTGTCGTGCACTTCGCCTTCAATTAGAAGCTGAAGATATGAAATTATGGTCATAGGTTGCAAATGGAAACTAAAAGTCCCACAATTTTAAATCCAACTGGGAACATTATTATCAAGTTCTTGAATTTATAATCTGTTGAAGCAAAGATTCTTGCAATGCCGGTGCATCGTAATTGGTCCAAAAATTTTAAACACCGTCCACATTATTGCCACAGTTAACACCAACTAATGTTGAATAATAAAAAAAAATGTTTATACAAGCAAAATTCTACTCGTGTTAAATCCATATCTGATTCAAAACTTTTAAACACCAAACAAACTTTTGCCATACGTAACACAACACTAATGTTGAACATTTTAAATGCCAAGGGATCCTCCTTTTAGACATTCCTGTTAATCATATGATCATTCTTCTGACTTATGAAATTTGAAGTTAGCTTAAATAAGAGGTAGTGCT